AATTATGTCCTCTAGGGGACGTGGACATAAAGGGATGTAAATTTTATATGCTAAATACTTTAGGGACCCATCTTTACTCGTGATAGTATGCTGTTGATCATTTTCTTTTTGGATTCTGAGTATTGATTCATTCTTTATTGTGTGGCTTTTTTGATTTGAGTGTTGATGTTGTTTTGTGTTTTGGTTGGTTGTCTTCTTTATTGCTTGCCAGAGGTCTTTTACTTCTTTCAGCCATCTTGTTTTTTGGTTGATACTTTCCTGGAGGGAGAAGTTTGTTATGGATGTGTTTTGTTTTTGTAGGAATTTTGTCATTTTGTTGATTTTTTCACTATTGTATTTGATTTTCTCTTTCTTTTGATGTATGTTTTGGCTAGATGTACAAGTTTCCCTAGGTTATAAACTGAGCTGATGTTTTGGTTGAGATTGTGTGGTTGTAAGTAGTTTTTTTTTTCTTGTGTGTGGAGTCTTTTTTGGGTTGGCTTTCCTGATGTGTCTTTTTGCTGTTGTACAGATACTATTCCAGGTGATGTTCCAGAGTCTTTCTACTGACATATGGATGGTGTTGTGTAATTCTTCTTGCAGTTCTATTTCCTTGTCAACGTTCTCTTGAAATAGCTTCCATTGCTTTGCCTTTGTTGCTTTAGTATTGCTCCTATAGGTGTGTGTATTGTGCATGTAGTAATATTGTGGTCACTATTTGAAATAAACTCTGATGGTATAATGTGTGCCTCCAGTGTGAACCAGTTTGGATTTGGAGATAGCCAAATATAATCAATTTGTGTTGCAGCTCCATTGTTATTTTGCCATGTGTATTCTTTTTTGGATGGGTGATGAAATCTGTATGTGTCTATGTGGCCCAGTAATGTGAGTATATGAAGGATTGAGTTTGTGATCATGTTTTGCAGTTGGTTTTTGAGTGATGGAGTTTGTCAAGTTTAGAATTTGCTAATCCATTAATCTCCCAGTGTAATGGTGAGAAAGTCTTTATTGTTGTTCTTTTCCCAGATTTTTTGGTTTGTCCAACTTAAAAATTGTTTGCAGTTGCTATTGAGAGATGCTTGAACATATATTCCAATGATACTGACTTTGTTGTTGGTTTTGTAGTATAGATCTATACAGATACCTCTTCCTGGAAATTTGTCTACACCCCCTATGTGTTGTGCGATTTCTGTTTTGAGCATAATAATAATTCCTGCTTCTTTGTTATCTTCTGATGCAAAGCTTTGGTAGCCTGGAACCTTCCAATGCTTGCTGGAGTCATTTGTGATTTGTGTTTCTGTAATCACAGCTATGTCCACCTTGTTGTTTGTACAATATTTTTGCCATATGCTTTTTTGAAGGGGTTGTTGAATCCTCTTGTATTATGTGTTACTATGTGCCATTTGTGCTGTGTGCTGGTTGATGGTTGTTCAAGTGAATCTGTTGTGTTGTTGCTGATGTTCTCTAATGTTGCTGATGCTGTCATTTGGTTTCTTGTGTTTTGTGTAGTTTGATATATGTTTGGTTGGTTTTCTTTCTGTGTTATTGTTGTATCTTCTTGTGATGTTTCTGAGTCTGACCATGAAAAGGTGTTGTTAAGTTGTTCATTTGTGATTAAATTTAGTGTTGTGGCATTTATGTTATTGCTTGAACTGTTTTCTTGGGCTGAAGAGATGTCACTGGTTGTATTCCCCATCTGATTTGTGTGATTGGGTTGGGATTCTAGCGAAAGTATCCATTGTTGCTATGATCTGATTCATACTGTTTTGCATTCAATCTAGAGAGGCAAACAGTTGTGTTTGGTGGCTTCTGATATCATTCATGTTGTTTTCTTGTGTTTCTTGGGGTTGCTGTTGGTTGGTTGTTTTACTCTTTTCTTTATTGATCTGTTCACTTTCCATAGATTCATAATATTCTTCAATGTAAAACTCGAGGTTTGTGATGCATTCATCTAGTTCTGTGATTTTTTCCTTTACCTCTCCTAGGTCTCTTTGGATTTGTCTTAGGAGATTTGCAATTTCTGTTAGAAATTGTGGGTTTTCTTCTCTATTTTGTATTTTGGTTTTTACTGCAGTTGTATAGGATCCTGCTCTGCTTTGCCCATCTGATCTTGGTCTGTTGACTTTGCGAATTGTGCCTGTTTTGGTGGGTCTGAATTTGTTGTAGTGTTCCAAATTTGGATGCTTGTTCTTGTTGATATTCTTGCCATTGTTGGTGGCAGAGCTTGATTGGACAATCTTTGGTGATGTGGTTCTCAGAGTTACAGATTACACAGAACTTGGTTATGATTGGTGTGAAGATAAGTTCTGATTCTCCAAGGGTGTATGTTTCTTGTACTGCTTCCAAAAGGTCTTCTTGGATTGCAAAGCTTATGACTGCGAATCTTCTAGGTTTGTATGCTAGTGTTACAAATCATTAGTTAGAAAGTTTGAAATTAACCAATCAGAGTATAGGGATTTTTAGTTGCAACTAGTTGATTATAATTAAAACAACTAATCGATTGGAAAATTTTAACCAACTAAGATCACTATTGTAGCTGTTGTTGCTGCTCTGGGGATGTAACATGTTTGCCCTTTGCATTGTATGAGAATATTCTTGAGGTCCCATGCTGATGTGTTTGGGGTAGATTGATTAGTTTGGCTGCAGTCTCATGTCTTGCTCTCATTTGGTCTAGTGACCATTCTGTGTCGTTGATTCTGATTGAGTCTCTCCTAATTAGGATACTCCTTTGGTTGATTAATTTGTCTTGTCTGTGAAGGTTATTGTGACACATTGCCATAGGTTCTGGGTACTCATAGTGATTCCTTGGATTTCTCCATATTTGGAAAACACTTGTTTCACTTCAATGAGTTTTGTGTTCAAGGGGAGAGTTCTTGACATCTGATTTCCATATGTGCTATCTTATGATCTTCCATATCTGGAAATGTGATTGTGGTTGTATGTTCAACTGCCTGTTGATCTTCAAAGATGGCAATGATTTTCATTTCTTCATTTTTCCCTCACTGCAGACTGTGAGGAGTCCTTCAGGTGAGTCTAGGGCAAGGATAATGTGTTCAATCTTCTGGTTGATGGTTTTTCCCTTGACTAGCTTGGTGTCAATGCCTACTTTGTATCTTTCTCTCCCATGGGGATCTGGGTCTTGGTTTGATCAAAGGTCTGGTTTGTTTATCTTTCTTGTCTACTGTGAACCATTCTCACTCAGTAGTTTTCTCTTGGTTGAGTTCTGCTTCAGACAGCATCTCCTCATCACTGTCATCTATTCTGGCATAACTGGGTGGTCCTACTGCTTGTTGTTGCATCTTACTCTCAAGTCTTGCTTTGTGCGGTTCTGTGGTGTTTGTAGCTTTGGTTGCTTCTTGCTTGTTTATTTCTTTTTCCACTTCTTCTCCCCATGAAGTGTATCCTGCTTCTTGGATCACTGGTGTTTAGGTGTCCTTGTTGCATGCTTGGTTTGTTGTCTCTTTAGGTGGGGTGTCCTGGTTTGCTCTGTTCAACATGTTTTGTACTGGGTTTTTTGTTGTTATCTGTGTTGAAAGTGCTGTGGATTTCTTGGCATATGGTTGGGTCCTGACTGTGGTTGGTTCTCTAGTTTGCTTGTCATGTCTAAGCTGTCTTTCAGTGGAGTTGGGGTTGCTAATTGAGGCCTTTGGACCTCTGTTGCTGCTTGACATCTTTTCCTTTGTCTGGGTAATTACTGCGCCTCAGATGTGTGGGAAAGGGTTTGTTGTGACATTAAATTAAAATCAAAGTAGCCTATGATGCAAACTTGGTTCACTAAGGCTTGTTAATGTATTAATAATCAGCATATTTTTATACTTAAACCATATTTCATGTAATAGATTAGTTATTGCCACATATATAACACCAGTATTATGCATTTTGTTATCATATGGTTGAAACTATACATGTGATAGAATTGAATTCTATTATTTTTCAAAAATTATATTATGGTAGATAAAGATAGATCTCTAAATTATTTAGCATATAAAATTTTGCAGATCAATTATGTCCTTTTTGAAGGAACATAATTATTTATTCATTATTTTAATAGTGACATAATTCAAAAAACATTTGGATCAAGTGATCAAAATTTTAAAAAACCTTTTTTAATAGTAAGGAACATTTAACAGGAAAAGAAAAAATCAAAGAAATAAAGAGGCTCACAGAACTATGGAATGACATCAATGTGTACACAGATGGCTCTCTGGATCCAACAGATGACAACAATGTGAAAATGGGTATAGGCATCATCATACA